AACATAAAGTAGTTTATAATCACATGTTATAGGCTTTCAAATATACACAATTGTATACATAGATTGTTTATGATGTTTTATTAATGTTCAAGAATAGAAAAAGGTTATCATGGGTATATTTTTCTTGCTTTTATTACTATGATGTTTAAAATTCCCATCATTACTGAAAAAAAAACATATTCATTATAGTTACGGTATACTAAAGTATTCAATAGTACCTACATGTCATAGTTGAATATCTATGACGATTTATTTCTGTAAGATCGAACTTAAGTACAAAGTTTCTGGAACTAAATATTAAATATTAAAAAGGAAATGAGAAAAAGTTCATCATACTCTTCTACACTTAAATGTTGTAAATACTACTGATTTTACTGGTTGAAATCATGAGCCAATTGAAGCTAGACCACCAAGGAAAACCCGGAAGCACTGGACGGCCGCTTCGTTCTAGTATGGGACTCCTCAGCAGTGCGCATCCACGATCCCGCACCCTGCGAGATTCAAACCCAGGACCTATCAGTCTCGCGCCAGGTGCCTAACCAACTAGACCACTGAGACGGCATCCAACTTCAACCAATCCACGAAGTTGCGCCACCGTACACCATCGTCTTCAGTGAGTTACTATCTCACAACAGACCTGATTGAACTCCACTGGTAACGACTTCTTACTAGGACTCCAGGAGTGTCTCCTGAAGTCAGTCACTAGTGAGCAGGTGATTATTATTATTATCAGAATGGGTTTTGTGAAGATTTTCAGAAATTTCACTGGTTGAAATCATAAGTCAACTGAAGCTAGACCACCGTGGAAAATTACAGTAATAAAATCAGTTCCACTTAGAACTTTGTTAATATTGAAAACAATAAACTAATGTTTTCTTGTGTAATTTCTAATATTGAATAAATTCTATAATATTAATTTACTATGTAACCATGAATCCTACTCTTTGTCGATATCTATTGCATAGAATAAAATCTAAAATTAGAGCTTCCTGTAATATAAATTTAATAAGAAAGAGTTAAGTATTCCTGTTTTATGAATAGTTTTCAGCAACTAAAGAAATGCATATATAAAATGGTATGTCATTTACTATTTACTACTTATGAGTAGTGTAAGTCTATAACATTAAATGAATAGACGAAACGGCCGTCCAGTGCTTCTAGGTTTTCCATGGTGGTCTAGCTTCAATTGACGGTTGAAATGAATAGAAAGTTGAAAATTTCTTATACTAACCATTATTGATAGTGATGAACTGATTAAATCTGAATAATAAGTCGAAGAACTAAAATAATGACAGTTGTGTAGACTGAAGTTGATAAATGAATAGCATATATTAAGAGTGTGCCTCATTCATCACTGTTTACAAACGCATCCATATACATCTACACTTTGAAGTGTCTATAAAATTATCACATAATAAAAGATGACACACTTTATTGATTAAATGAATTAAAATCATTAGGCTTTTTTGATACACACAAATGGACTGAGCCATGTTGGTAGGTGTAAATTACCTGGTTCAGGGGATCCGTGAGATTATAGCAACCGATGATTAGAGACCTTGAATAACATCGCTCAAAATCGTTTGCAATGGCGCAGGTGCATTCACTCTTTGTGTTCTACCAAATTCTAATCTTCTGAATTCTTCATGTCCCTACCTTTTTCTCTCTCCAAATTTATTTCACTGGATTATACTCATTGAATAACATCTTCAAACCCTAGTGTTTCCGATTAATACTTATTCTTTTACTACCTCTACCACCATGGGATTTGAAAGGAAAATTGTATCTGTGTGCTAATGTGGTATGGCAACTCGAACTCATGTACTTTCTTACGAAGTTCTACGTTGTTGATTGACTGATACATAAGATATCGTAAAACAATTAGTGTTGCTTTCTACTGATATCTTGATCATTGTTTATTTTCATTCATAATACTAATATGTGAGTCTCTATTGACGAGCATTATTTAGTGGCTGTTATTGGTTAATTTAAGGCTTCTGGCGTTAAGATCAACAATTCATGACTATAAGTTTTAACCAACCTTCTCATAAAGTAAAGAAATAAAACAAAACCGTTTAGTAGTACGAAAATTTCACAATGTTGATATTTTTTTCAATTAATCATAATAAAAAGGCATATTCGTATTATAGTTCCCATTGATCTGTCCTCTAGATTACCACTATGGGAACGTGTATATACGCGAAATGTTAATTAAATACTGAACATGCAACATACAGAAGTTGAGTGATTTATCATTTTACGTTTATTGAGATTCCCCTTTCCTATCGCATTCCTACTTTCTTTCACCTTCTTACTTTATCAAATCTTCTCTCTCTCTCTGTTGCTCAACTATTCATCTTTTGTCAACATGTATCCTGATATCAATCTTCATGACCTAGTTACATCAATCTGAACATTATTTATTACTAGTGTGAATACATAAATCATTACATGTCATTCCCATGAGTAATGTATATCTCTGTAATCTGTTATCTGTCATATTTTTTCCATATTTGAAACAATTTTCACGGGTCACTAGAAACAATAAATTTACCATGAATTATTTCCTTCTATTTTTGTTTCTGGAAGATTGATCGTATTGTTTGAAAAAGAAACTTAGTGAATTTGTTTTAATATATACAAAAATTTGTCGTTCCCCATTCTCTCTAAAAAACAAAACACAGCACATTAGTTAAGATAATTCTAGATCCTGGGAAAAAAGTGACCAGACGCTCTTATTCCATATGAAATTGAACTAAGCATTGTAGTAGGACAATTGATGATTGACCAACAAATATAGATTACTAATCAGTAAGAGTTATCAAACAAAATGCAACTAGCCTTTAAAACCTTTAACGACAGATACATGAATTAAGCACTGAAGATAAAGTTCAGGATAATAATTAAAACTGACTAATTCAACTATTTAACGGAGTGAGCATAATATTGTCGAAATTCATAAAAATGTTAATAGTAATTTATGCAGATAATGTAGTGAAGAAAATAACCCTTTTCAAATCGATCATATATTTTAATGAGAGTAGTAAATGGTTAAGTCGTTACATAAAGCCACGGTGAACCATTTACCTACAATGTTAATGAAAACAAACAAACTGGACCCACTTGTCCTGTTCTACCAGTAATTCTTTTTCCAAGTGATTCATGACTAAGTGACTTTAGGTAAATTATCGGTGAGCACAATTTTAAACAAACAACTGGGTTTGAGACACTGAAACTATTTTGCATTGTTGCTAGCCATTTGTCACGAAACAAATATTTGCAATTTTGCATTATTTTTATATAAAACCATTTTGGTAGAGATATTGTCTAGTGCATAATAAAGTGTTTAGTGAATGAACAATCTATGTATTATGCTCCATGTGCTTTTATTCTAATTAAATTTTCTGCATTAACTTTTTCTGACTGGTTCCCATTGATTTTAGTTCTCTAAGTTTCCATATCCTTGAAGGTCGTGTTGTCATTATCATATATACAGAGTTGTACCATTTCATTTGGTTCTGCTTATTCTATTTTGATTACCAAATCTTCCTATAATTCATCTTCTCCTTGTGTTAACGGCTGATTGATCTGACCAGATCTCTAGATATGAGATTAACTTCTGAGAATTCATTGGTTGATAGGATCTCCTTATTACTCTTTATCTAGTTATTTGTACTATTTTTTAAAATTATTACTGAATTTATCACTGTATGCTTTAATGAGCACTAGAAATTTGTACTAAGCTACCTTGTACTCATTTTTTAGATCCAGTCAATCAGCTACGACGTAGGACTAGGCACATATATGCATCGGTCCAAGTTACCATACTTCATTAACACAACAAGATGAATACCGGATTCATGGTAATAGTTAATTCAGAGGTGGTAATATATAAAAGAAAGGTTGCATATAAGAACATAGTACAGGAAGAAAGAACTAGTTCGTAGAAAGAAAGATAGCTTAAAGGAAGACAGAGAGTGTATACACCAAGGTCATTGTGATCGATTCTCACTCATGTCACCCAGAGTCTTCAACCATCGGTCACGATAGTCACACCGACTCCAACCAATTAGTCTACATCTATCAACATGACTAAGACTAGAAATTAGTGAATTCAAGCACTGATGCCACGTTTTGGTTTGGCCGCCCCTAACTTTCTTCCAACAATCCCGAACACCGGTTAGCATTGCACGTCGTGGTAATCGGTGTTCAGGCATACGTAACACATGGCCCAACCATCTCAGTCGATGAAGATTCACAACCTCATCAACTGATTTACCATCACTCCCTGATACCCTTCGTCTAACCTCACTATCACTTACCCGATGATCCCAATATGGTTAATGAGATAAATGAAGGAAAGAACTGAAAAATTGCTATGGATACCCAGAGCTTATTTATGTACATATACTTAAATAAATATATGTTCTCGTTGGATAGTACTAAAGCATTTATTCCTATTTTCTCATTGCATGTTTATTGTCAACACTCAAAGAAGGTAAACGGACTCCGTCCTTGTTTTCCGATATAATTAGAGTTTTGGCTGTTTGAAATATTACGCACCACACTACAGAAATGATGCGTGTGTTGTTAGTTCCGGCTACCATAAATCATTATCTAAGTAGCCGATGAACAATTATCCTCCTAACTCTTCAGAACTTTGAATGAATGAATTGAGTAAGAATAAACAAACATTATTCTAGGCTTACCACAGTTGTCATTACATAACAATGAATAATACCTAATCAATTGACCAGACCGAAAGAAATAGCCAAGGATTTAGACTATACAATTATTTAGTTTTAGATTAAATCAAAATTCTAATAGACATTGATGACTGAATGACGACGATCATCCAGTATCTCTCACATATTCTAATCGATAGTCATGACCATTTTAAACCTTAAATCAGTAAAGGCTGGGTTGTTTTAAAAACTACATATCGTTATCATACAGTTTTTAGTATTCTAATAAGTTACTTTCTTTTTCTTTTTCTACAGATCATTCTGTTACTATCCCAACAGGATTGACAACTTTGAAAACAAATAAAGAATATGGAACTCAAAAATCTATCGAATTCTATGCATCCCTTAATCAGTTTAAGACTTTTGTACATTTTTTATTTCTTCATTCTTCTAAGCATTATTACATCATCTGTTAAATGTGCATGTTTACAATTGACTGAAAATGATCGTCCTGTATTATTTTGTCAGTCAACAATACCATCTTTACCAATTCCAAGAAATGATATTCCAGCTAAAATTGCAAAACTTATCATTTCAGGAATGAATTCTACTGGTCAACACAATGGAATTTTAACACGTGATAATCTAACCGGTTTGGAAACATTAACATATCTTCAAATAAGTAATTTTGATTTAAAAGAGATTGAATCACATACTTTTTCTGCTATGGAACATTTACGTATATTAGATTTGTCAAAAAATCGAATAATAACAATTAGATCAGAAGCATTTGCTGGACCATCTTTAAAGCTTCTCTCACTAACTGATAATAAAGGCATAATTTTTGATCGAACATCATTTCATGGTGCTCATGTTTTTCACTTGGCAGCTCGAAACTGTGATTTAACTTCACTAGATTACGAGACAATAGCTAAGGCTAAACCAAAACAGTTAAGTTTATCTGATAATATTTTAACATGGTTAGATCCACAATTCGCTGAACTTGTCATAGATCCTCCAAATTCAAAAATTCATCATTTATCAACTGTTCCACCCCGTCCTAACCTTGGCTATCTAGATTTGAGCAATAATCCTTTAAATTGTGATTGTCAGCTTATGTGGCTTTCAAGGTTAGTAGAAAGTCAGTCTTACGATGCATATCAGTATGTCACTGGTAAAGATTTAAACAATAATGATCACAAAAAAGATGTTACTGATTGGTCAAATTCACCAACAGAATCATCAATTCGTTTAATGCAACATATGAATATGACATGTGCACAACCACCTGCCTTGGCTGGTAAGAAGTTACCACGTAGTTGGGATTATTTTTGTCCAATCCCAAGTATAACTGGAATTGAAATAAATATGTTAAAAGCAAGTGCAGATTTCGCTCAACTGACATGTATTGGTAAAGGTAGACCAACACCAAGTCTTGCATGGACATATAAGATACACGGACAAAAAGTACAACAAATTTTAGACCCTTCAGTTAAACAAGGTTCCAATGATCAGTATTTTATGCATTCTAATAGTCAATCATCTTTGAATATATTACCAGGGAACAAAATGATTGAACGAAAACTTGCATTAAATGTAAGTTTGAATTCAGTAAATATTGAAAACTTCACATGTACAATATGGAATAATGATGGGATACCATCAATATCTTCAGTATCTACTACATCATTGACTTCTTCCGAGGGTATTATTAACCCATTTAAACCTACATCCCTAATTGTCCCAACATCTGATAATCATCAAACCAAATTTCAATATTATAGGCTTCATGAAGTTACTGTACGTGTGTCTGGACCTCTGAGACCATCTGAATTTATTAATCCTGTAATAATTGGTGAATCTTCAAGTTTGGACAGTCGTAAGCAACATGCTCAGAAAGATGACAATGCTGAAGTTTCAATGTCATCATTGACCACAACTTCACAGATACTTGATAAACAGATAACAAATTCATTACAAGAGGAAAGTAAAGAGACATACGGTTATTTATTCATAAAAAGATTTACATTATTAGAATTACTCGGTGCAGTTATAGGAACATTTATTGCCACTTTAGCATTATTATACTTGGCGACAAATTGTTTTTCCTGGTTTTGTCAAATCAATAATCATTTATCAGCAAAAAGTCTACGTAAATCACATTTAGGATCGCATAGTAAGTGGTTTTCATGGATAAATAGTAGCAATAATAATAATGGTCATTTGTTGAGAGGTAGTAAGCATCAATCAGCTATGAATAATATTGGATCGCATCATTTGAATCAAAATGGGAATAGTTTAGATGCTAAACTGTTACAGCGTGAAGATGTAGAAACAACATGTACTACATTTGCTGATATGGTGTTAGCAACCACTACTCCAATGCCATCACAGTTTGGTTCAACAACGATATCCGCCCGTAGACCCAATATACCACAAGCGTTGTTACTCACAACTGTTCCAAACCCTCGTCTAGAGGCGAATTCCACACCGCCACCGAATCCAGCCTACTGGCCAATGCCTGAATATGCTTATTCAGGGGCAGGAAGCCATGAATATGATGTACCCAGACCGTTAGAAACATTTGTTGGTGAAAGGTGTATTCTAAAACCTGGACTGACAGAAAATAACAGTTTAAATCCTAGTGCAGCACAATCGTTTCTTAGCCTGGCTGCCCAATCCTTATTTCCGATGAATGGTACCCAGTTAAATCGTAACGATGTCGGAAATCAGCCAAATAATGGAATCTTTCAAACTCCCGCAAATATTACACCTCTAACTATGCAATGGACACAAACAATGAATCCAATAAATAAAACATTGACAATAAATCCTATCATTTCATGGCAACCGAATTTAGTCGGTTCACATAATTCATCTTTGCTGACTGATAGACAAACACAAAATAGTAGCTATACTAATCAACCATCAACACAATCAATATTGTATTCTGCAGATTATCCAACCTATTTACAAACACGTCCATATCCGCATCATAAAGAGCAGAGCCTACAACAACAACAACAGTTGATTGAACTTATGACGAATTCTACTAGAAATTACCAATCAGAAAACTTTATGAGCACGCCTATGGATTTGCCAAGAAAAACTATCACTTGTACACAAGAAAATAAGGCTCAAATAAATGGAACCAATAATTAGGACTAATATAGATCATAGTGCTAAACCTCCGTCGATAAAAAAATAAATCTCAACTGTTCATATATATATATTAACTTAATTCAAAGCATTTTGTTGTGAAAACAACTCTATTGTAAAGTAAATAAGAACTCACCGTCTTCTTGAACAGTCATATTTATGTAAATGAACATAACTAACCATTAATCAATATTACAGAGAAATGATTTTTTGTTAGATTAATCCATTTGGATTCAATGAAACGACTGACAGACAGATAAAAAAAGATATCTTCCTTTCTACATTCATTAGAAATCTCCTCCTCTCATTGTAGACACTAAACTCTTGTTCTTGCCCCCATGCTCAAGTAATTTTTAACTATTCCAAAGTCTTTCCAAGTTAACTAACTAACAATATTCAAATAAAATCAAACTCTTTTGTGTAATAAACATTTCTCATTCATCTTTTGTCTACTACTTTATTAATAGTAGTCTATATATATTCATAAATTGTGAAAGTCAAACATTGAATTTTTTGTTCTAGTTATCGATATATTTCGACAATCATAAATGATAATTATAAAAGCATAGACTTTGCTTTGCGAAAATTCTGAGACTGCTTTAGAAAAGATAGGAAGAGGATAGTAGATTTATTTGACTACTAAAGATATTTCCATATTGTACTCAATATACAATATTGAATAATACCATTAATAATAATAAAAGTGAATAACTAGCCGAAAAGCCTTGATGTATCGTAAGTTGTTTAAGCAGTGGATTAAATATAGGTCATAGCTTTAGCGTAGATCACCCTTGAGATAGTCGAAAGATACGTGGTAGTTACGATACACACGATGAACGATTGACTCAGTGTGAAATCATTTCTAGACTACATACATGGGACAAGACTGAAGATAATCTACAGAAAATATTAAAGAAAAAAGGACTCAGTTACAAGGCATTCGATAATTACTACAATCATAATAAGACTAAAGGTAGGTGATATTTTATTTTATAGCCACCAGATTTAAGGATCCTGAATCTACTGTGCTAAAGCAAAGCAGATGAAATCTTTCAAACTGATAACACGAGAGTATCTACAATATTCTAAATGAATAACCCAGTTAGTGCCGGGGACGATGAAACACTAGGGTGTCTTATGTTTAGCCTACTGAGAATCTCTATTTAATCTGAACAGTCAAAGTGAGTAGTATTTAAATTCGAAACCTACATGATAGGTCATTTTGCATTTGATCACGAGTAATATTTTCCAAGGCATTGAAAACCAGGAATAAATAGTCGGACTTTTGAATAAACAGGCCATTTTTTAAGCTGATAAACTGTCTATACTCAACTAGCCAAACCAGTCAATTTATACCATTTTCGGACTTTCTTGTCAGTAACGTAATTAACATTGGTGACAAAGTATTCAATTCATATGACGAAGCAGTGAGTTTAGCTACACTGGATGAAGTAGAAAAATAGGTCGATATGTGAGTACCCACAAGATCGTTCAGCTCCCATCTTCCACTCGGTATGGTGAAAATATTACCAACTTGTCGCTTACGCGTATATTGGGACAACAAATTGAGCGATGTTGAAATTGGATTGAGGGCAAAAGGTTATTTTCATCGACTGAGGTAGTCAGGGCATGTATTACGTCTGATCAACCATCAACTATCTTGACGCATGATTCTGAATAATGTAGTAGGTTAGAAAGCTTGAGGCGGACTAACCGAAGCGTATCACATGTTCATGGGGTTGATGACAGAATGAGGTCCGGGAGATTGTGGCCAACCGTTGAAAATTTTGGATATGGCCCAAAATTATTCGCAATGGAGCATGTGGTCCCTTAAGTCCTGAGTTCCAAAATTATATTACCCTTTATTCCATGTTATCTACTTTAAGTCTTTTCTACTACTACTACTGATATTGTTACAACTTCAACTACTCTGTGATTTGTCCTGATAATTACATCTCATCGTGCTGAAGACCACTATTTTTATATTTTATGTATCAAGAATCGACTTACACAGTGTAAATTATGTTTAAAGTAAGGGTTTTCCTTCAATCTGTATTCCCAACTTAGTCGGACTAGTTATCATAGAAAAACTTCCGGTGAATTGGCAATCCACATCACCTGTTGGCGTTTAGCAGTAATACTCAAGTAGGACTTCTGCAAACATTTCATTGTCTTATAGTATCATGTATCTTAGTCTGTAAAATGTCAAGTTTCATACCAATAAACAGCTTTTCTGCATAATAATTTTTACCAATCCACTTCCTATCATATCGTTGTTGAAAGCTTCAGTGCAATATGGGTTAGTCAAGGTTGTGAATAAATGTATACCATTGAGCATTTGAATTATTTCTATCGCGAATATATTAGACCTACTGAGAAACGGCACCAGGTTTTTAATCCCAGCAAATATCCACGAAATCAGACCACACATAATTTAAGGTGTTTACATTGATTGATTATTGAGTAGTGACCAGTTTCATTATTTGTCTAGTCCTTAGTACTTACAGAATCCTATCTATTAAGTTTCAATGTATCCATTAGTCTAAGTGACATATCACATACATTGTGTTGAAATGTTAGATGGTTGGAGATATCCAGTTCAACCTACATTTCGTGCTTATCGGGACTTATCATCAAAGCTTATCTAAAATCTTGAGGGAATTGATACTTTTTCTATGGGATTCGAACCCTTACCGAGAAGTTTCAAATTTAAACGGTAATTGTTAAAGATTGAATTAACATCACTTTCAAATACAGTTCATATTAAGTATAATGCAAAAACAATCAAATCAGCATTGAAATGACTTAAGTTTGAATATACAAGCATCGACAATAAGAAAAAGAACAACAACAGTAACTCTTCAATAATAAACTCTCTGAATATCTCTTAATGAATTAACATCACAGATAAAGTTGAATTAGTGAATGATAAGTTAACAATAAAATTCAAAAGAGATTATAAACATTAGTGTCATATAGTGAGAACAACACATTTTGGTTCGAACAAAGTAAACAATACAAAACAAATAAATCAAGTCATGAGGAAACTATTGATTAAAATAACCACTTGGAAAAGAGACGTATAAATATGAGAACAAGACAGTATAATACAAAAACGAATATATATATCCTATTTATTTAGGATAACAATTATAGGACACTAAATAAAATCAATATAACAATGAGTGTGATTAACAAAGAGAAAATAGCACACCATTGACGACGATCAGTATTTAAGTGTAGTAAACGTGCTGTCCGTTTAGTTACTGAATCAAGCCTTGATTCTGTACTAACCATTTCATTATTGAAATCATCTAACAGAACAACTTGATCACCTAATTCATCACCGATACGCTGCGACATTCCTTTTAAATTCGATATGGTTGTACCTAATTGATCCAATCGATTGTCTTGTTCATATAATAATTGTTTCTGTTCTGTTAACGGATCATAATGTATAGAATAGATGTTTGATGATGGTGACGACTTTTTTATATGGGAATTTATTCGTTTACTAGATTGTGTTTTATTTGTTGTTTGATCACTGATTTAAAATGGAAGATGATAAGGGAGAGGGACAAAAGAAAACACAAGTATTTGTCAATGAAATTCAATGTGAGACTGATCTAATGTTAAATACACTAAACTGATAAAATTGTTAACATATGTTGAATAAAATTTAATAATAAACATTTTCACCAGGATATGACCAGAAAACGTAAGTAACTTGAAGTCGTATATACATAGAACTAATGAAATTTACAATAACTAGTGTCCTAATTCGATAGTTTGACAACGGGATATTATCTACTAATGTGAATTACAGTTAACAAACAACGATGAAATTGACTATAGAATTATTCTATAAACGCGTACGCTAATAAAACCATTCACTTGATATGACTCGGTGCAAGGAAAGAGACTAATATATATGACGATTTACTTTGTATTGGTTATTCACTAAATTTGAATAGTTATAACTTAAACAAATTCCAAACTGAATCAACCCACAGTCACACCACAAAATATGTATTTAAACTACTGAAATGTTTGTAAACGACCGCATGATTGAAAGTCACTCGATTTTACATATTTTCATAAGCTTTAAGCTTATATTTCGTGCTTTGTAGCATTCGTTATTAAGGTGAGTTTTACTATTGGGGAAATTTAAAGTTTTTCTATATAAGCGTCGATCTTCGTTATCCAACAGGAAACTAAGGTGAAACGATTCAATAATAACTTTTGTCAACTCCTTGAATGACATGAGATTACAATAAAAACTCTTAAGTTTCGTTTCATTAACGTTCATCGATAATGTGCATACTATAGAACCTTACCAGCCAGTAGAACCGTACCTTAATTATTATCTCGTATATATCCTCTCTGATTTATTTATGGTCACTTGGATGTCATTATAAAATGTCCCCAACCGTTAAAACATTTTTTTCAAAACGACTTTGCTATGACTAAAACATATTATTGAACTATGACAATACCTACAGAGTGACAATAATAAGCAATAGTAATACTAAAGAAGAAATAATTTTCGAGGACCCTCAGCTCAGATAGTCTGTTTCAATTGTGGAAACGTATATCCAACCTTTCATACCCAAATTATTCTGAAACAGTCCCTGAAGGGAATAAGATTAGCATGTACTGTCTTGAATTTCTGTCTAAACAGTGTCCTAAAACATTATTAGCACGTTTATGTGTGATCAAGAAATTGATCTGTATTATTTGATGAGTTGGTTCACATGAGATATATTACTGAACTACTACTTACTATGTTCTATTACCGGACTGAAAACTGGGCTAGAAGAGAGGCATACGTTATGGACCAACACGAATTGGGATTACTTCAGCCTCAACTCAAGGTTAATCTTGATGACAGAAACGTATAATTGGACAAAGCTTAGGATGCTAGGCAATAGGTAAAATAGTATGCACGGGGTAGAGGAATACTGCAAGATTCTGATTGACCAGTCTCCTATGGATATCGATCAACTTGCAGTTATAACAAATACCAACAACATTTACAGATGAATGCTCTCAGAGTGGACCGGTGAAATAAGTATTCAACTTTCTGCTTCCAAATTCGGGTCGTAAATCTATTAATACTTGAGTAATATCTTTAACCAGAGTATATAAAATGTAGTTCAGTGTTTAATTTAAAGGCGTTTACTTATACAGTTAAAGCTATTATTATTAAAACGAACTCTTGACGTCACAGAATCAACGTAATGCAAGTTGTAGGACGGCAGTAACAATAGTTCAAATATACACAAAATAAACTTGTAAAGTATTCGCTTACCTCACTTTCAAATCTCCATTACATAACACCGATGAGGGTGGTGATGATGATGGACGCGGTGCGATATGAACTGTGAAATCAATAGGCGAATCGTTTCTTTTGCTGCCATTATCTGATGAGTTTAAACAATTTTTCGCATTCTTTACTACATTTTTTGCTTCTGTTAAAAATTGACGTCTTGCTGATATATCATTATCGGATAGACGAAATTTTATAGGATTATTTTCCACTGCTCCAATAGTTTCCTGGAAATA